TGAAAACAAAAACGTATAAATCAAGCCTTAAGCCTAAAATGTGTTGTTGATTTTAAACCACTAATGACATCACGGTAACACTTTATAATAACTACACCTTACTTAGCCTTAATAAAGCATGAACAAAGACTTGATTAATAATAAACAAAGATTTAATTAATAATGATTCATGCTTAGTAAATTTTTAATAAAGGATAATTAGTCTTCACTTTAGAAAAGCTCTCAAAAAGACTTAACTAACAGATAACACCTGCCTGAATGATCATTGCATTACATTATTAGTAAATCATTCTCTCATAGCTTATTAACGATTAATAAATGCTCAAATGGTTAGTTCATGAGTAATTAAGTATGAAATAATTATGAATAACTATTTACAGCACAGGCAAATTAAGTCCAAGTGCGAATTAAGGTAGTAATTAAGTAGTTACTAAGCGTGAATCATTATTAATTAAATCTTTGTTCATTATTAATTAAGCCTTTGTTCATGCTTTATTAAGGTTAAATACGGTGTAGTTATTATAAAGTGTTACCGACATCACAAGGTGGAACAGAGCATTTTTGAGCTTTGGAGATGTAGACCGCCCAATAACGCAAGATTATTCAAACACGTGTGAATGAAACAAAACACGACTCCAGGTGTGTTTCTGAGGAGATAACAACATTATAACACGGCGAAAAGCTCACAGGAGTCAATTATGTGTAATCTAGGCCCTTTAATCTGTCTGTTTGGCGTAGATTGTGCAGTAGTCCCAGAGGCGTTGTATCAGTATATTTCGGAGTTGTGTGTGTGTGTGACTGGAGTGTGCCCTTTGTGTGTGTGTGTGTGTGTGTGTGTGTGTGTGGGCGTAAGCACATCCAAACTGTCAGCGTGACAAAGAGGCGGGAGCTCAGATCGACGGGTGAGAGCCATTTGGTGCAAACAGACTCGCGCACTTTCAAATAAATCTACGTTTAAGAGGGCAAAGAGGAGAGCGCACTGTTAAAAAAAAAAAAAAAAAAGTGTTTCAAATCATACGGGTTGAGAATAGCTGTCTGTTTGATGTATTTACAGACGCACTATGTGACTTTTGACCGTCTCCAAGGAGATTTCTTACATTACTTGGTCTGGAATGTTCCACACTATGACCTTGAGCATATCTACACGAACGTGAAAAAGCAGGCGACTTCACTAGATCACGAAACAGGTCAGATCTATGAAGAGGCGATACAGTTATACACTAAGAATAAGGGTGTGACGGTATCCAAGTCTCACGATACGATATCACCGCGGTATGAACCTCGCAGTACGATATTTATTGCGATATCGTGATGTGGTGGGGAGGCTCGCGATTAGGGTTTAGGGATGTAACTATAACCAAAATATCGTGATACCGTATCGTCAAAGTTCTCACAATAATATCGTGGACCATCACAATATATCGAATTACAAGTCTCGATACTTAAATGAAGAGTTATGGTGCAGCAATAGTAAAAAAAAAAAAAAAAAAAGACAGAGGGAACTACATAGACCATGATCCTTTGCTCCATTTCAGTGCAGACTACAAGAAGAAATAACAGTTCTAAGCACTTTTACGTCTTAGCTCTTTGGATTAAGTCTTGTCAAGGCATTTTAAGAGGAAAAAGCTGCATATACCACAAAATATCGCAATAAATATCGTACCGTGAGATGTATATCGATAAAATATCAATAAAACTGAGAGATTTGGATATCGTTACGTCGCTAATCGTGAACCTCCACACCATATCGTGAGCTTTCCCACGATATCGCAATAAATATCGTACCGTGCGGTTCATACCGTGACGATATCGTATCGTAAGACTTGGATATCGTTACACCCCTACTAGGGATGTAACAATATCCTAATCTCTTCGTACAATATTTTCACGATGTACATTACACGGTACGATATTTATTGCGATATTTTGTAGAAGCTACGGACAAAACTTTTAAAATGCCTTGACAAGACTTAACCCAAAGAACTAAGATTTAAAAGTGTTAGAACTGTTATTTCTTCATGTAATCTGCACTGAAATGGAGCAAAGGATCATGGTCTATGTAGTTCCGTCTGTGTTTTTTTTTTTTTTTTTTTTTTTTTGTGCGACAACTGAAAATATTGCGAGGATTTACGTGTTTCGAAGGGACGTACTCATGTCGTGGGCCACTTATTGTCAAGCGCTGCGGGAAACACTGTTGTAATTCGATATATTGTGATGGTCCACGAGAACTTTGACGATACGATATCACGATATTTCGGTTATTGTTAAATCCCTGAATAAGAATGCATGTTTTCTGAGGCGTTTTTGAGCAGTAATCACATGGAATAAGAGAAAACGTTTGATGCCGTACTGTCGAACATCCCAGACTAAGTAACAGCATCTCCACGGAGACAAAGAAGCAACCGACAAAGCCAGAAAAGTTACATAGTGTACTGTAAGCAGGCACAACATCCATGAGCGAAAACAATTCAATTACACGAAGCAGCCCTGCTAAGTGCTCCATTTAATTATTAGACGATTTGTGATTTGTTACGCTGATGACACAATCCTGAGCTCTGTAATTACCAGGGTGCTTCTGAATGGTTGAAATCAATTTTTGTAATTTATATTTTCAACAGTTTGGTTTGAATCGAGGGAAAATAAAGTACTGAAACCACACAGCACAAAACCCAACAATCTATGCCCCGTGAGTAATTAGATCTAAAATATCCCAAATTAACTACGCAAGACGGTTATTTTCAATTGCAAAAGTGATTCTAATACAGATAAAGTATTTGTTTTTTTACAGTCTTGACTCTCCTCTTTACGTGTGATTGTTTACGCATGAGGCCGACAGCATTAGACACAATGAGCAGCACTTTTCACTTGACGTTTGAAGGTGAACTGCGGAGATTTTCAGTCTGGGGGTCCGTCACCTGCTTGTCTTTTTTCTATGGATATGTCGTTGCTCTGTCTGGAATGTTCCACAGTATGACATTAAACAGTTTTACCTTAAGTTTATTCAGTTATAGATGCAAACATTTACTGATCAAAAATACCTAGAAAATTATAAAGTGTTTCGTATGTGACTTTCCACAATCCGTGTATCGTTCGTTCATTTGTTTTTTAAAATAAAACCAAAAATAAGAAAATGAAAAAAAAAAAAAAAACTATTTTCTTCATTATTTGTCTCAGATCATGATTTGTTTTTGTCAGTTTTGGATTTTGTGTTTAAATGAAAAATGAAAACAAAAACAAACAAAAAAAAACAGATAATAACCGTTTCTTGTTTCTGTGACTTAAACTGAAATGTTGGACTGAACCAGGACTAAAACAGGACTAAACTGTTTTCAGTCCTGGTCTGTTCCCAGTTTCATTCTTGGTCTCAGTCCTGGTCTGGTCCCGATCTCAGTTCCGGTCTCAGTCCCGGTCTCAATCCCGGTCTAAGTCTAAGTCTCAGTCCCGGTCTGGTCGCGGTCTGGTCCCGGTCTCAGTCCTGATCTTGTCCCGATCTCAGTCTTAGTCTCAGTCTTGGTCTGGTCCCGGTCTCAGTCCTGGTCTAGTCCTGGTCTCAGTCTTGGTTTCAGTCCCGGTCTGGTCTCAGTTCTGGTCTCAGTTCTGGTCTCAGTTCCGGTCTCAGTCCTGGTCTGGTCCCTGTCACAGTTCCAGTCTCAGTCCTGGTCTCGGTCCTGGTCTCGGTGCTGGTCTCAGTCCTGGTCTCGGTCCTGGTATCAGTCCTGGTCTGGTCCCGGACCTGTTTTAGTCCTGGCTCATGGTTCAGTCCTGGTTCAGTCCCTATGTGGCGCAAAAGTCCAGGATCGCAGTTTAAGTCACGAAAACAGGAAACGTCCTTTACCCATTTTTTCCATTCTTCATTTAAACACAAAATTGAAAACTGAAAAAAAAAACAATCGTTATCCGTTTTTTCATTTTGGTTTTGAAGACAAATAACGAAGAAAACAGTTGCTTTTTCATTTTCTTATTTTTGCTTTTATATTGAAAAACTAATGAACGAATGACACACAGATTTCCCACGTTAAGTTTGTGACCTATAAAAAAAAAACAACATGGCCCAAAAATTCTGAACTTTGGACTTTGGGCTTTCAGAGATGAGACAGAAGGAAATAGAAACAAGGACTGTGGACGATTTGTGGAAGTTTGTGGAAGTTTGTGGAAGTTTGTAGAAGTTTGTAGAAGTTTGTAGAAGTTTGTATTTTGTCCCTACATACATTTTTAGGAAGAATTCTTTGTAAACTTTTATAAATGAGAGCCTAGATCTGGTCTGGCTTGGTCTCCGTGAAAATAGAAAAGTTTAATGTCATACTGTGAAACATTCCAGACAAAGAAATAAAATCTCCACGGAGAAAAACATTTGACGGACGATCCCCCAGAAAATTTCCGCAGTGCGCCTTTAAAGTCAGCGCTGGTTGGCGAAACTACGACTGATCCGGCGCTCCCTCAGCTGTCTCTCTGCGTCAGGGCCTGCAGTTCAGCCGTCTGGAGCGAGTGTTGGAGGAAAACATTTTTACGACTGTAACTGTGCAAAGAGAGGGGACCGCGAGGGGGCTGTCCCAACCGCCCCGTGAACGAGGACGACGAGGAGGACGAGGAGGACGGGGTGGGCGGGGGCGGGGAGCTGGGGTCAGAAGACGAGAAGGTGCCTCTGCTCAGACTGTGGAGACTGGAGGAGGCGCTGGAGCCGACCGCCCGGGGGATTTGGGACACGGCGGGGGGGTGAGCGTCTCCTCGTTTTGCGGAAAGGGGGGCGCTTTGGGTTAAAGACTCCGCCGAGGAAGACACCACCTCGAACTGCCGACCGCGAGACGGCTGCGACGGGGGGAACGTCGACGCGAGGAGGGCGGCGTTGGCGGCGTGGTGGCGGGTGGAGGGAGGGGCCTGGTGGTGGCGCTCTTCTCTGGCAGTGTTGGTGCGCCCGTGCGGAGGGTGGTGAGGCGCGTGCTGGTTAACGTGGTCCCCGGCGTGTGGTGGCGCCGTAGCTCGCGCCGCTCTTCGCTCCCTTGGGCCCAGGCTGCTGCTGCTGTTGCTGTTGTTGCCTGCTCCTGACCACCGGCCTGGAGGGTTGGTCTGTAAAACAAAACAAGAAAAGAAAAACACAATTTAAATGCACTGTAATGGATTTTTAAGATCTTAAAAACATAAGAAATGTGCTTCGGAGGGGGCGTAGTTAAAGCGGGAGCCACTGCACTGTAGAAATTTTATATATTGTGATGCTCCGCGATATTATTGTGAGAACTTTGACGATACGATATTACGATATTTATGTTATTGTTACATCCCTAACTAAAAATGCATGTTTTCAGAGGTATCTTTGAGCAATAAAACAACATGGAATAAAAGAAAATGTTTGATGCCATTCTGTGGGACATCCCAGACAAAGAAATAGCATCTCCATGGAGACAAACAAGCGACCGACAAAGCCAGAAAAGTTTCATAGTGTACCATTAAAGTGCCCATCTCATGCAAAATAACTCTTTTTCACATTGTATCTTCTGCACATGTACAAGCACAATTTGGGTTTTGGAACATCCATTACACAATAGTTATGAAATCTTACTGATTTCTTGGAGGCGTCACAGACCAGGAACTATAAAAGACCGATTATTGCTCCTCCCCCCGCCCGTCCTGAGAAAGCACAGGCTCCGCCCTCCAAACGTGACGTAGGCTCTGAGTGAGCCGCCCTTCCTCCGCCATCTCAGGGAGGGAGGGGGAGACAGACGTGCACCCTGATAGTGGTAGGAATAAACTTTTATTCATCATGGAGATACAGCTCGTTCAGCCGCATGTGTTGGACCCAGAATCAGACGAGGACTTTGAGGAGCACGAAGCTCAAGCACCGCGACGACATCAGCTGAACATTACTGATTGGTAAAGTTTTAATAAACACTAGTAGATAAACTTAATATATCGTGTTCACTGCAGTGTAGAACAATGAGCTTATGCTGTCGCTTTTGTTTAGGTGAAACGCTACATCATACACGTCATAGGTGTATCTGCCGCGTCATCGTTGTAGCAGCTTTAGTTCGTTGTCACATGGGAGGGAACAGAAATACGCTGCAATTTGCTAAAAAAAAAAAAAGCTGAATCAATCTAAAAACCACTTGGGCGACATATACAAGGCCCACACGTCACTCTTAGAAGGTAGAAAGCTCTGAAAAGTTGATTTTGCATGAGATGGGCCCTTTAAGTAGCACAATAGCACTTAAAAACATGAAAAACACAACTAGTTCAAAGTTATTCCTCAGTTTTCCTATGCATCCTGAGCATCCTAACCATTCACCAAAACAAGTTTATAAGCACTTTTCACAACTTCCAGAAGCCACAGTTTTGCCGTCACAGTAATACTAACAGCTACTAGCATGCTAACAGTGCACTTCCTCTTTCACGAACAATACAGAGGTTTATAATTCCATGCAAACAGCACACAACAGTCTCATTTTGACCTCAAGAGCAGCTTATACAATATATCTGTACTGGGACAAGACAAATTTTGCTCAAGTGCATGAGGGAAAAAATGAGTACAGCCACTTTAAGTAGGTCTCTCAGCTGTCAGTGTTTAATTTATATCTGCTCTTTTTCCAGAACTCTTTGGAGAGAAAACTGGTCTTTAGGGAACAAGAGAGGAGTGTCGTCAAGATAAAAAATCAAACTAGATTTCGATACTAAGGAATAGACTCTGTTCCGATTTAGATACCAGAATGATATTTAAAAACACTCTCATTTAGACGGTAGAATGTCACTTTCAACATTAATTCGTAGTATTTTCTTTGATATTCCGAGGTGGTTTTATATCTGTGTAATCCCTCAGTGGTCCAGGGGCGTATATTCGTCTATGTTCTCTTATATTTGTTCTGATACAGCTCAAGATCGTTCTAAATCTATTCAGAAAAGGTTCATTTCTGTGCCGTAAATCAGGAAAGAAAGGCAGATGAAATAGACAGATCGCCGGAGTTTGGGAGAGGGAGGAGAGTAGTTGTGCAGTCAGTTTGTGTTGTTAATTGTGTGACATTTGTAGAGCGATCTTTCCCAGCTCCTGTGGCTTGTTTTAATTGTTTCTAAACCAAGCGGAACCTGCTCTGTAACAAATGCAGCTCCAGACATGCACCCAGACACAAGGCTGCAAACGTATGGAGGGAAAGCGGACGACCCTGTACGATCTATGGTTAGAGGATATTGACAAAAATCACATCTCGGTATATTTTGGATTATCCTGATCCACATATCAACATATATTTATTACAGTAAAAATGTATTGGTTCTGTTCAAAAGAGAATTTGGTAATACTTTATAATAACTTCACTTTTGCGTTAATAAAGGATGAAGAGCTTGTGAAACTTATGCCAGTCCAATTTTCCTTTTACAGAAAAAAGATGAAAGAATCATCAGCAAACCCAAATTGAAATTCAACAAATTGGTAGAACTTCATATTTTAAAAACTGTACAAAAGCAAATCAAAGTTGTTGTTTGTTGTTTGTTTGTCGTTGTAAAAATGTTTCAATCAAAGATGTTAACCTATGGAACAGTCTAAACGAAAAACTCAAAGCTTCAAAATCTATTCAAGTGTTTAAAAGAAATGTCAAATATAATATGCTAAAAAGTTTGAGATGGCAGAGTAATTGTCCTTTTGTGTTCATGAATAAGTCGTTAATTTTGTGTATGTCACTTAAATAAGTTGCTTATAAATGTAGCTGCTGAGTTTATACATTAAGTTGGAACTTTTCTGTGTGTGAAAAGGACAGATATTACAAGTCTATACTTGTTTCTGCTCCTTTTCATTCACATTGATGCATGAAACATAATTATTTTATATTCATCTTACAGGAATGAAACAAATAAAAAATGATATGAAAATGAAATGAAATGAACAAAGATCTATTTCATAATTAACTAATAATTTATCAAGAATGATTCAGGCTTAGCACCCTAACACAGAAATGTCAAACTCAGGCCCAGGGGCCAGATTTGGCCCACGATATAATTATATTTGGCCTGTGAGATCATATCAAATATGCATTAGAGCTGCACGCGGGCTACAGATAGACTATAGAGACATTATTTATTTAAAATGTTGTTATTATTTTATTCTGCTTGTTCTGGATTCATTGTTTAATTTAAAACTATTATTAAACATGTATTTTAATAAGAAAAGGTTTAACGTTACATATCTCAAAAGAAGAGAAAACATGCAGATGTTGTTGAAATTTTTCAATAAAAATTTTATGTGGCCCACAACTTAGTCCCAGTTTTTAATTTTGGCCTCTGTGAATTTGAGTTTGACACTGCTGCCTTCACCCTTTAATTCATACACTATTACTAATACTAATAACTTAATACAGTTATATAAACATCTGTTTTTCTTTTATAAACAAACATTTTGTGGAATCTGATTAATCACATTATTATCTTACCTTATACATGTAAACTTCAGATCTCTAACTTTTTGCACTAAGAAACTGACAAAGGTTAAAAGAATCACACTGTAGCCCCTCTGAGACTCGCTGTCACTGTGGAATCGGCTATATTTCTTGCGAGTGATAACGGGTGTAGCTCAGTGACATTTTCATTTTGTCAAAGTGGCTCTCTGGATTAAAAAGTTTAGAGACCACTGATCTACACCATCTGCCATCTTACGCCCAGAAAAATACTCATCTTCATCAGCGTGTCTATTAGTATCCTATGCCACAAATTAATTACACTGTTTTTATTCTTGGACAAGTTTGCAGTGATATTTTCAGGTTAATTAATTAAATAAAATAGTGTATATGTAGCACTTCTTCTTACACAATAATCATATTATATTTTTCAGCATTATCACATTGTCATTACCTTAAACACACACATCTCTTATTCTGTGAACATTATGCACAAAGCCTGAATCCGACAGCAAAGTCTGTGTCTCTCTCAGCACAGAACAGACTGAATGGGGAGGAGGCAGGAACAGAAGCCACCTGTTTCCTTTCACACTCCACTACACTGCCTTATGCAACATCTCCACTGTCCCCACGCGCTCCACACAACCGCACAACCACACGAGCACACAACCACACAACTGTACGACCGCACGATCACACAACAAAAATATACTGAACACATTTTTGTCCTACTTTTTAATTCAGTGAGTAATAAACACTTCACTAGTAACAATTTCTAGATCCATATTTTCCATATACGGCCCTTTAATCTTTTTAATCCGGCCCACCGAACTTGAATAATAATAATAATAATTCTCATTTCAATAAATATCAAATACTGTAGGATTTGAAAGACAGATATTTTGTTTGTAATGCTTAGTAATGATTTTCAATTATGGAATAGTTCCATAACATGGGATATTTCTTTCTCTTATGAGGCGGTTTACCCAAAAACTCCATCCATCTGCTCCTGGTCCGGCCCTTCCGTCAAATTTTAGAACACCTTTGTGGCCCACGAGTTAAAACGTTTGTCCACCCCCTGTTCTAGATCCTTGTTATAACTAATGGACTAATATTTCTTGGGAAGCAAAGGGTTAATATAATGGAATGGAAATGGACCAATCACAATTTTTCTTCCAGTGGCGTCTGGGTAAATCAGTGACTCCCCCTGCAGGTATTGAACTAAAGGAAACACCTGCAGGGTCTTCGGTGGCTGGAACGAAGGCTCGTGCAATTCAAGTCAACGTGGGGATGAGTTGGAGATTGACAGTTGTCTTAGCCCAGAGGTGTCAAACTCAAATTCACAAAGGGCCAAAATAAAAAAACTGGGTCATGGGCCAAACTAAATATTTATGGAAACATTTCAACAACATCTGCATGTTTTCTCTTCTTTCGAGATATGTAATGTTAAACCTTTTCTTATTAAAATAAATGTTTAATAATAGTTTTGCTTAAACAATGAATCCAGAACAAGCAAAATATAAAATAATAACACAATTCTAAATAAATAATGCCTCTATAGTCTATCTGTAGCTGGCGGGCAGCTCTAATACATATTTGATATGATCTCGCGGCCATCTATAATGGTATCGCGGGCAAAATTTGGCCCCCGGACCTGAGTTTGACATGTCTGGTTTAGCCAATCATATTTCATTG